ATCATATTGCATATATTGTTGGGTTTTTTTGGCAGCTGGCTGGTACAGGGCTCAAACCCTGGACCTTGGTGTTATCAGCACCACACTCCAACCAACTGAGTTGACCGGCCAGCCCAGTGATGTAGCATATACTATTTGTGATCTGCTTTTTACCCTTCCACTAGTCTATAAATAGCTTCCTGTCAAATATTCTTTAAAAACATTAGTTTTAATGTCTTCATAGTATTCAAGTCCATTGACATATCGTTTGTTAAAAAAATTCTGTATTTTGAAATTTAGGCTATTTGAAATGTTTTGCTATTTTTAATAGTATTGTGATTGATATATGTGTACATAAATTTTTGTGATTAATTCCTTGTGGTTAAAAAAATTCTGTATTTTGAAATTTAGGCTATTTGAAATGTTTTGCTATTTTTAATAGTGTTGTGATTGATATATGTGTACATAAATTTTTGCGATTAATTCCTTGTGATAATTTTTTAAAAAGTGGATTCTTCTTATTATTAAAGTTTAAATCTGCTGATACGGAAAATAAGTACTATGAAAATATTATTGAAATAAATGATTTTTTGAACTGGAAGCTTCCTCAGAAGTCAAGTAAGCTAACCTCCTCATTTCACAGCTGAGAAAACGGAAGACAAGAGAAAGTGATAAGCTCAAGGTAATATAGCAATTTAGAAAAAGAGCTAGATTTGACTCTATGAAACTGCAGCAGACAAAGAGCATTACCAACGGACTTAAAACACAAATTACAGTGTCTGGCATCTAAGTACACAAATGTGGAAGTGGGGCACAGATGTGGCAAAGGAGATGGAAAGGGTGGTTGGGAGATTGGTTACATTAAACCATAAGTAAATTGAGCAAATAAGTAAATTTAATGAGGATAAAGAGACTCAGGTTTCTCACCATTAGAGAAGATATTTATTTTTAAGTGGAAAAGGGGAAGTCTAGAAAGGATCTTGAGTTGTTGGATTGGAATTGGAGATATTGGCAGGAACTCACGGTTTTAAAATATATGTACTGGATAGATAAGGGAAATAGTTATAGATGCAAGCACATATGTATGTATATGTATATGTTATGTGTGTATATATGTGCATATGTGTGTTGTATTTGTGTGTGTTTATAATTGTGTGTATCTATTGTACACATGTATTTCCTAGTTCTGTCCACTGAGAGTTCCCAGAAGCAATGACACACCAGTAGCAATGAGAGCACTGAGAGCCCAGATCCCAATACCCTCCTCCACGAAAGGAACCCGGGCTTCTGGGTTGAGCCTAGCTCTGGGTCAGGGAAAATAGAAAATGAACCTGGAACTTTTCATTTTGCCAGAAAGTAAGACTATGCTCAAAGAATGGTGAAGAAATGTCAAAAGGACATAAGAGCCACACCGGAGGGTCTCCCACTGGCTGAATCCTGGACAATTTGAACATCAAAATAATGAAAGTATCAAAATACAACCCACTAAATAAAATAGAAACCCAGGAGTTCACAAAGATATAAGTACATACATGCATACCTACATAAATAAAAGGGGGAGAAGGAAAACTCTTCCTTGCAGTAGATTGCCAACTAGTAAATGTAGAAAGAATGATGAAAATAGAAAATTACCACTATCATAACTGTAGTTGATTCAAGAGAAAGTTGGCATGGATGCTAAGTTTTGTGGGTGGAATGTGATGCAGAATAAGATACTGAGGGCTCTTGGAATACCTCCTTCCCTATAAGACATTACTAATCAATTACAAAGGAAAAAAAAATAGTGATTTTATGGTGGAGAAACATGTCTGGAAATAAAAAGACAGAAAAGCCACAAATGACAATCTGAGAGAAGATATTTACAACATATATATCAGTCAAAGAATAGGAATATACAAAGAGCTCCTGTAAATCAACATTTGATTATACTCCAGTTTAAAAGGGGCAGAAGACATGATCAGGCAATTGAGAAAAGATATATAAATGGGCCAGCAAACAACATGAAAAGATGTTCATCATCACTAATAATCAAAGAAATGCTGCATAAAACAAGATAACGTTGGGCCAGCCTTGTGGCGTGCTCGGGAGAGCGCGGCGCCGGAGTGCGACGCTCCCGCCGCGGGTTCGGATCCTATATAGGAATGGCCGGTGCGCTCACTGGCTGAGCGCGGTGCGGGCGACACCACACCAAGGGTTGCGATCCCCTTACCGGTCACGAAAAAGACAAAAAAAACAAAAACAAAAACAAAAACAAGATAACGTTTACTTGTTAGACTGGCCAAAATGAGAGGCTTATAATATGCCAGTCTCTTCACTGGCATCACAAAGGCATGCCAATTAGAAAAGAAATCAACATTCTTTCTGAAGTGATATCACTTGCAAAATGGCTAGAGAATATGCCAGTAATTTGCAAATAATCTATTATATACAGAGAAAAACATACTTCCCTTGATAATGCAGAAACACCCTTTGGTGTTACTGAGAACTTCCTCCAATGTTTGATTGACAGTTGTAATACAAATAGCCATATACTCAAGTATTAATGGGAATGGACAAAAAGAACTCGTAATATGATAAAATCAGAGATTCTTTTTGGGTTAGTATTTATCTATCCCATTCATCCAAGTAATGTCTGAGCTCCTTCTCTAAAAGCCTTGGTAACACCATCTAGCATCTGCTAGAATACCTCTATTGTTCATTTGTTCACTCCACAAATATTTACTGAGCACCTACTTTGTGCCCAGGCAGAGGTAAGTGCTGAGAATACAGTGCGGAGCAAAAGGAGACATAGTACAGCTCTTCAGGGAGATAATAAGTTTAAAATTGCAACTGAGATAAACGGTACGAGGGAGAGCTATACAATGATATGAGAACCTAAAACAGGAATTTGACTCTGTCAAGAAGGCCAAGGAAAGGCTTCAGAAAGTGTGGCTTGAGCTGAAATATGATGGATGGGGGTTGGGGGGTGGTGGTGGTTAATAACTAGGATGAAAGAAGAGGCAAGAGCGTTTCAGGTAGAAGGGCAGCATGTGTAAAGGCCCTGTGGCAGAGGGTAGTATCATGACTAGCAGGGACTGAGAGAGGACGTGTGGATGAGCAAGAGAGAAAAAGAGGGTCTCCATAGGGTCAGACAAAGCTGGCCAGGTACATAGGACTTTCTCTCAGAAGCCTGGAAGGGTGGTAAGTCCAGGGAAGGACCAGCATTGCGTTTAGAGAAGATCCCTCTCATTGCCATGTGAAAGTCTACCTGTACCAAACCCAAGTATATAAAAACCACGAGTAAACTATCGCCATAGTTTCATCCTCCCTACTGCCCAAGGGACCGCAGATTTAATCCTTTCTTATGACAAATATGTGGGGAGGGCAGCCTCCCCTGCCTCTCCCCTCACTGCGTCCCTGCCACCCAGCTCTCTGTCTAGGGGGCATTGTTTCTGTCCTCCCTCCACCCTCACCAGGTTTCTGAATGCCCTTTAGTTTGTCCTTTTCTCTCTCAACAGGCAGGCCTGAGAACAGAGTGTAAAAAACCAACGGAGGACCCGGGATGGCAAATGGAAAATGATTATTGAACGAGCTGAAAACTGCCCAAAACATAACCTCTCACTTTGAAACCATCATCTGACAGAAATGGAGAACCGTGTAACTGTGAATAATGAATATAAAACAACTAAAGTATTTTTACAATGCTCAATGGCCGGAGGATATCGAGAGAGGGAGGCTGGGAGGCCATTTCATCCTTCGGACAGAGGTCTGGACACCCAACGCCAAAGGAGGAAAACTGAACATTTAAAAAAATGAGTCCTGTGAAGCAGTTGTGAATTTAAATATAATTTGGGGGTACAAAAAGCAAAGAAAAAAGTTGAAAAGTATTTATCCAGAATATTATACATCAGAGCCACACATATGCACATGAAGAATCTCAGAAATGTAATATTGAATAAATAAATGCATACTGTACAATAATAATATATAGGATGTTATGATCTATAAAATGCTTAAAAACATGCAAAATGAAACTATATATTATTTCTGGGTATATCCATGTGCAATAAGAGTGTAATGATATGGAAGGGAATCAAAACCCCAAATATAAAACAGCTTCCTCCTGTCTTCTGGGAGGAGGAAGGGCCATGCGTTTGGTAAGGAGTACACGGAACTGGAGGTGGCACTGGCACCACATTATTTCTTAAGCTGGTGGGCACACCTGATACGGATTATATTATTATTTAGAACTTTTTATATTTCTGAAATATTTTCCAATACATTTTTTTTGTGGTTCTTTTTGAGACCGGCCGCACTGCGCTCAGCCAGTGAGCACTGTGAGCGCACCGGTCATCCCTATATAGGATCCGAACCTGTGGCGGGAGCACTGCTGCGCTCCCAGCACCGCACTCTCCCGAGTGCGCCACGGGCTTGGCCCTCCAATACATTTTTTAAAGAAAAAATTGATAACCTAATTCGCCAGTGAATTACTGATAAGAACAGTATTAGAATGGCGGGAGCACTGCTGCGCTCCCAGCGCCGCACTCTCCCGAGTGCGCCACGGGCTTGGCCCTCCAATACATTTTTTAAAGAAAAAATTGATAACCTAATTTGCCAGTGAATTACTGATAAGAACAGTATTAGACAAAAGGACTTGTAACTCCTTTCTAGTGACTGATTTTCTGTTTAAGAATAGGCTTCAAACAGGTTCAATCCCTGGATGGCATAAAACAGTTTCACAAAAAGACACAGGCATAGCACTAATGGGCAGAATGGAGGGCCCAGTCAACAGAGCTATGTGGGATGAGTTTCAGTCATTTAAACTCCAACTGCACCTGAGATGACCCTGGTCCCGTATTTCCAGATATAAAGCCTGGTCTCACATGGGTTGGCATGGACTGCATAGATGCTGAATTTATACAATTAGCTCATCAGAGCAGCAGTGAATTTTAGAAGCTCCCTAATATTCCCTGTTGTATGGACGTGGAGGGTATGGAGTGGTTATGTATTTTAGTATTTTATGTGGCATCAGTTTGACTTACCTGCTGTTCCAAGGTGTTTGGATCAATAAAAGTCACCAGATCTATAGAAAAGTAACCAACCACATTTCTCATTTTGCAGGCATTTCCAATCTGGAGGCACAAAGAATTGAGAACTTGGGGATCCACTGAGGTCTGAGGCATGGTGGTACCGGATGAGATGAAGGGGCCTTCGGCATGAAACTGGTCCCCTGTTGACAGCACCTTGATTTCTCCGTTGGGCTCTATCAACATGTCCACCGTCAGATTGGTGATACTGTCTGCAGGTGGGAACGCTTCGATCATGCCCCCTGGTGGGAAAAGCATGAAGTAGGTGAAAAGCCACATTCACACGGTAGTGGGAAGAAAGAGCCTAGGTTTTGGCAGATGCATCTGCCATATCTTGGGAGGCTTTGGGCAAGTAGCTTAAATTCTCTTAACTCCGTTTTCTTCATCTGTAATATGGGCATAATAAAACCTACCTCACCAGATTGTTGTGAATCTTAGAGATACTGTGTCTATAGTACTTAGGCCAATGCTTGGAATATAGTATAGGGCTCCATAAATGGTGGTTTTGATTCTGATCGTAATTGTAAAGACACTGTACAGATCATCAAGTCTATGCCCATTCATTTAATAAACAATAAGCCCAAGGATTATGGTCAAATCCCTCAGGAGGAATTAACTGCCCATGGGCCACAGTTTGTGGCATGATGACTGTGTGCTCTTTCTGTTCAACTTCACTGCTTTTTGAAGGTTTAGCAGGTTTAGGCTTTTAGCAGGCACAGAGAACACTGACCCTCATGTCAGCCAAAGGACTTCTATATAAAACCAGCTGTAAAACATTTTTTAAAATACAGAGCCAGGAGATGCTGCTGCTTGTAAGAACAGGTCTGCTTTCTCCTTGCTGATAATGAGAGCTTTATAATTTACCATATTTTACCTTTTGCTCTGAATACCAAAAATCACAGAGGCAAATCTGATGCTCAACCACAGCAACAATATTTTGCTGCCTAATTTTGTGGGCCAGCTCAGGGGCATCCACAAAAATTGCACAGCACTGATTTTCTGTTCTTAGAACTAACATGTAAATCTTGCTGTATATATTTCTTTTGTAGAAAAAAAATTTAAGTATTATTTTTAAAGAGTTAGATAACTTGATTTAAAAGTAAAAATAACTAAGTGTTCCCTAGACATTGCGTTCTTTGGAACCTGACAGCATTAAGATAAACTTGGCCTATATTTCACAAATTTGCTGGGGCAGGGTGACCAGCGTCCATAGGTACAAGCCACAGGATTTGAGCAGCATATGTGGCTAAGTCCTGAGATTTTAGCAATTGTCATACACATCTGTTACTTCATCCAAAATATTTATAAGTTTGGTCAGAGGTAGCCCTAATGAACACTGAGTTTCAGAAGGAAAACTGATTTTGTAGTGTACACATTCAACCCATAATTTACCTATCTGGTTGGTTTGAGATGTTCTTATCTTCAAATGAGGCCGACTAGTGTGTGCTGTACCTAAATACCCATTGTTAGGAATTTAGCAAGGTAAATGCAACAAAACAACCACAAAATCCACAAAAACAAAACGTCTAGTGAGTCTCTCTGCCTTAGTTAACTTTGTGGCTTCAGCTGTCACCTGTGGCTCAGTCAGGGAATATTTATGCAGGGCCTGCTGTATGCACTGGGCCCAGAGCCAGGTGGAGCCTTTGAAAACATGTGACTTAACAAGAATCAGATTTTTAAATGTGCTAAAATTGTAGGATCTAACTCTGTATCCCCATTTACCACTTATTTGTTGTGTGATTTTGCCCAAGTCACTTCCTATCTCTGAGCCTCAGTTTTTCCATCTATAAAAATAGGTTAATAAAGCTTATTCTGCCTCTCACAAACAAGCATGTTGTTTACAACATGGTTAAGAAAAAAGGACAAAAATGAACAAGAGGTGAAGGTGAAGCCTTAGCTTGTGTTTACACAGCTCAGGTGAGATAGCGGCTGGGAAAAGCCTTTCTAGTCTACAAAACACATGAAAACAAATACTTTAGAGGAAGGTTTTGCAGGTTGACCTTGCAAGATCTGTACACTTCCTAATACCCTGTTTTGGATGGGCCTGGAGATCTTTGTGGTCTTCCCCTCCTAACTTAAAAAATCCCTTATTCTTGACCATTTGTTATGGTAGGTACTTTATTTTCTTTCACTTATGCATGGGGTTGACTTTCTTACTTTGACTTTCTGTCAGTGGATGCATATGGAAATTTGTAGAATCACAGAATTTTAGAGTTGAGAGGACATTGCAAATTATGTAGCACAACCCCCACCCCCCTGCCACAGAATCTTCCCAAAAACCCTATAAGGTGTGTAACTGAGGAAACTGGGCCTCTGAGGCTTTAAGGATCTCACTCAAGGTCATGGATGAGGTCCAGACCCAGGTCATCTGATTCTAAAGCCCGTATCTCAGAAGAAGTCTGTGGTGCAAAAAAAAAAAAAAAAAAAAAAAA